CCTAATAGCATAGAAAAGCAAGAGTGGAATAGAGATTTGGAAGGTGTTTAAATTATTTGGAGAGGTGATATCACAAATTTAACTAGGAGAAAGCAAAGTGATTCAAATTTCTCAAGCAGGACAATCTAGGAGAGCACACAATATGTTTTTATTTTATTCCCACGTAGAACTTTAAAACATTTGAAATGATAAGCCTCTTAGATTTGCTATAAAATCCGGCACATGCTTAGTTAGCAGCTGAGCTCATCAAAGATGGATTTTCCCAGTTTCCACTAAGTTGTGGCATGACCTTAAGTTTAAGTAAATGTTTATATGAAAGTTTCCAAAAGTTAATTGGCATAGAAATTAATCTGGGAGGAGAAAAGGGGGATTTTTTTTCTCAGCAGAAAAATAGACCCTGGAGTTTGTTGGGGTGTTTTTGGGGTTATACTCACTCCCCACCCCCCACTTTTTTTCCTCTTTAAACATTCTTTTAGTATAGATGGAGAACAAACATACCTTTGTATCTACCAATTCAGTAATCTGATCTTCAGCCAAAAAAATGTAACTGACTCCTAATAACCAGGTGTGATGCAAAGAATGTATCTGAAAGTTTATTCTACACATACACAAGTCAATTGGGTGATTGTGTGAGCCTCACGTATTTTCCAGTAAAGAAAAAAAAAAAAAAGGAAAAAGAAGCTTTTGTTGCAGAAACTTCTAACCTAGTTAGAAATAAGCAGACAGATTTGATTTTGTGCTCATCTGGGGAATTGTCTAGTCAAATCCAGTCTCTTTCCACCTTGTGGGAAACTGTAAAGCAGACCACTCAGGACATTCTGGTAGCAACTGGAACACAGACCAGGTGAAACTCTTCATTTTTCAATAGCTCATACCCTCTATAGCCTCTTTGAATTAAGAAATTTTCTTCTATGTTTGTTGTAAGCTTTTAAAAATGCAATTTCTATTTCTAAAGTCTGTAGGCTTCTTCATTTCCTGGCATTTAGAAGTGATTCCTGTACCAAAATTATGAAGTGTAAGTTGAAGAAATTGAGCATATGAATTGCTTTGGAGTTTAAGAATTTGATATAACAGAGTAAGTGCCAGGAAACAATATTCAGCAACAAAATCCATTTTTTATCATCAAAGAACCCATCACATTCTATTCATCGACCTTTGGCTGAAGACTTAGATATCCAATTAGCTGGGATCTAATATAATATGCTTAAATTTTAAAAGTGTCACTGTGGTGATATTGGTGATATTGCACTGATGAATACAAACATTCTCTCAGATTAATTACCTATTTATGCTCATCTGAAACAGTTTTTTTTTTTTTGCTAAGTCTAGCAATTACTGTCACTGCATCTAATATTTCTTCTGAATATCTCCAAAGGAGAAATAACTTTTTTTATTTTTGTTCCTCCTGGTTGAACACAAAGGAAAATTGCATTTGCATGAATATCTATGATCCTTTGACTTGGAGAAAATGGGCCATATTATCATTAATCTGAGACTAAAAAAGATAAATAATTTTCCATGGAGGATAGTGAGAAAAAGGCAGTGTAGCAAGCATGGCTGGTAGGCTTCCTCTCTTCCTAACTAGAATACTCCAGTTTTCAGAATTAAATCTAAGACTACAAACTTCTTAGGCTGTAACTCAGAGGAAGAAACAAATTTCACATGGCAATTCAGTCTACCCACGCATTTTATATATATATATATATATATATATATATATATATATATATATTTTGAATACTGAAAATAATGCTTAATAAAATATTGTTTGATTTTTTTTATTTTCTTTTTTAATGTTCATTCTGTACCACTAAATTTGATTTCCCAATCCACAAATAAGTTATGATGCAACTTTCAGAAACCCTGCTCTACAATTTTCATGTCGATTCTAGTCCTCTTGGTTTTGAACTCAATGACCCATTCAAGTTCATTAGAAGTAATGGGAAACTGCCAGTGATTTTTCTTGAAAAGTTTCTTCATTTCAAAATGAGAATTGAAAGTATGTGTTAGCGGGCCTCCCTGGGGGCACAAGGGGTTAAGATGCATCCTATGAAGCTATCCACAGCCACTGCAACACGAGTTCAATCCCTGGCCAAGGAGGAGACCCACATGGCACAGCAGACCTCTCCTGGCTCACCCGCTGCTCGCCTCAGCAGTGTATTTCAGTCAGTCTGTTCTGCTCCCCACTCTGTCTCTGGTGAATCCTCTCACCCCCCACACCTTTGGCCAGTACCCCAGTTCTTGCATGCATAAATAAATCTTTAAACAGTAAAAAATGAAAGTATGTGTTAAGCCCTCCCTGGTGGCGCAGGGGTTAAAGTCAGCACTGTTAAGTTATTGCCAGCCACTGCGGCATGGGTCCAATTCCTGGTCAGAGAGGTAACCCATATGACAAGACAAACTTGTCTCACCCGCTGCCCCTCTCAGCAGTGTATTTCAGTCAACCCACCTGCTCTGCACGCCACTCTGTCTCTGGTGAATCCTCTCACCACCCTGCACCTCTGGCCTACACCCCAGTTCTCGTATGCATAAATAAATTTTAAAAATCTTAAAAAAAAAAAGTTGTGTGTTATATTGTGCTCATGGATTGGAAGAACTTAATGTTCCTAACATATCAATTGTCCCCAAAAATGATATGTAGTTTCAATACAGTCTCAATCAAAATTAAAAAAAAAATGCTATGTTTATAGCAGCACTATTTACAATAGCTAAGCTATGGAAACAACCCAAATGCCCAAAAAATAGATGACTGAATTAAGAAGATGTGGTACATATACACAATGGAATATTACTCAGCAATCAAAAAGATAAACACATGCAGTTTGCAGCAACATGGATGGAGCTGGAGGGATCATGCTCAGTAAAATAAGTTAGAAAGAAAAAGAAAAATACCGGATGGTCTCACTCATAGCAGGAATTTAGAAAACCAAAATAAGGTACCAGGAAAAAGATTAATACAAAGTAAAAATCAAAATCAACAAGCAACTATAAACCAGAGACACACTATGGGGGGGGGCGGGCAGAAGAAAGATTAGGGTCCAAAAAAGGGGGGGTACAATTGTATGGGGAATATAACCAAAATGAAAATGCATACATTGTGCAAAAATGAAAAATGATGTTGGAATTATATAAAATAAAATTTTAAAAAATAAAATAAAAATAAAATGAATCCAAAAAAGAATTTTTTAACATGTAGAGAAGCTGATTCTAGAAGTTACATGGGAAGTTAAAGGAAGTAGTAGCCAAAAATATTTTGAAAAAAGAATAAAATGACAGACTCCTCTCACTTGACTTACAGTTCTGTATTGATGAGATTTTACATACATAGATCAATGCAACAGAAGAGTCTAGAAATCAAGTCTGCCAATTCTGACCAAGGGACAAAGACAATTCACAGAAGAATGTATTTTCAACAAATCTTGCTGTGAAATTGGACTTTGATATGCATATGCAAAAATATTTCAATCTCAACCTGTATTTCACAATTTACACACACAAAAAATAACTTTAAATGCACCCCAGACCTAAGTGGAAAACTACAAAACTTTTAAGAGAAAATGTTTGTGAACTTAAGTAAGCAAAAACTTCTTAGATATAACACCAAAAGTACAATCAATGAAAGAAAAAAAATGATAAATTGGACTTCATGAAATGAAAATCTTTCACTTAACAATACAGGGCATTAGGAAAATGGAGGGACAATCCATAGATTGAGGGCAGTATATTGGCAAAACACACATATGACAAAAAAAACTTATTTCCACAATGCATAAAGAATCCTCGGGCCTCCCCTGGTGGCTCAGGCAATTGAGCGCTGCGCTGTGAAGCTGTCCGCAGCCTCTGCAGCGCCGGTTCGATCCTGGCCAGTCAGCGAGGGTCCCACATGGCACAGCAGACCTCTCCTGTCTCGCCCGCTGCTCCCCTCAGCAGTGTATTTCATCAGTCTATGTAAGGGCAGGACAGGCCACTGAGCAGGTTTTCTATGATCCAGCAGACCAGACCGTGTAAAGGAGGAGTCCTGGACCCCTAAGTGGCTTCCCAGGTCTTTATTGGGATTTACCAGGTAAACGGCAGGCAGGGGTGCCAAGGAATGGAAGGCTGGCAGGCCTCCCAGTCCCCAGCAAGTCTTCACACTATCTGCGCTCTCCAACCTTCTCTCGCGTTCTCTCTACTTCTCTCCTTCTCTGCTTCTTTCTCGGCTTCTACCTGCGTCCCGTGACGCCGCCCCTAAAAGCCCAGTCTCAGCCCAGGTGAATCCCATCTACCTAGGCCCACACCCTACTCCAGGTGCCCGCCATCAGGCATGCCTTCAGGACCACAGGGTTCCCTCATCTATCCGAATGGTGGGAGGGCAGAAAAGCCTGATACTTTTTACCTTACCCTACAGTCTGCCTGTTCTGTTCCCTGCTCTCTCTCTGGTGAATCCTCTCACCAGCGCATCTGGTCTGTACCCTGGTTGTTCTATAAATAAATTAAAAAAAAAATCCGCAAGCTCCAATAGTATGGAAAATAAACAATAATAAATTGGGCAAAAGATTTGAACAAAATCCTCACTAAACAAGATATACAGGTTGCAGATAATTACATGAAAGATGCTAAAATCAGTTAAGTTTTAGAGAAAAGCAGAATAAAGTCACAATGAAACACCACTACACAAATATTAGAGTAGCCAGGAAAAAGAAGAAATCTGCGGTGGCCAGATTTAGGGTTAAGAGGAAAGAGTTAATTACAAAGGAGAAGCACAAATGAATTTTGGAGCTAGTGGAATTGTTCTGTATCTTATATGTGTGGGTGGTTAGATGACTGTAGGGTAAATGAAGATGGGTCAGGCGTTTGCTCCGCTGGCCTCTGTGGCTATCACCTGTGGCCTTGATTGTGCTAATTGAGCAGAAGGCGCTTAGGCGTGTGGGGGTGGGGCACGCATGCGTCATGGTAGACACCTGGAGTGTGGTGTGAGCATGCGTGAGGATGAGCACCTGGGCCTGGATGCTGAGGCTATAAATAAGGGCCGCGTTACTCAGTACGGTGCAGTGGATGGAGAGCGCAGGAGGACAGCGCAGCCGGGAGCACTGGGGAAGGGCTGTGCATCTGCAAGAGGAAGCTCAGACTAAGGAGTATGTAGAGATTCGCAGGGGGGCCCAGGTTGCCGTCTCCCTGCTGGCTTGCTTATCCTGCGTACTAGTAAAAAACCTGTGAGGATCATGGCAACCATTCCAAGGTTCTCTTTAAGCTGCCTGAACTGATGATGAACGTACCCAGCCTGAGGTTGCCTGCAAAACAATGATGATAAAAAACTCAAAAACTGCACATAAAGGTGAACTTTAGAGAGTTCTGCCAAGATGGCAGACTAGTAAAAGCAGCACCCACACAAACAAAATATCAACACCGATAAAGACGGCAGCCCCCGAAAAATATCAGATATCTGGAAGATCAATGTTTTCACTGGGAAAAGTGACAACATCAAAGGTGAGTAATAAAATTTCTCTTTGAACACCGGTGGGGTGGGGTGATGTGATCAAGTGAGGGTGGCACAGCTCTGACATGGCCTTTTTTGTTTGTGCTACCGAAGGGCTCATCCCCAAATTGGGGACCCTTGTATCTGGCAGTTCCTTTGGAGAAGGAAGTACATATGACCAGGTATGGAAAATGGAAGGACTTACTGTAAAGGACAATAGGATTGTGGAAAGCAGAGATCCATGGCTAGTTCTTAGGGAGCAGATAGAACCTGCAACCCCAGATAGAGGAATTTGAGGTTTGAGCCCGGGGAAGGCCCTGATAACTGGAAGTGGAATGAGGTCCATGTGTGGCTTCCTGTTTTGTTCACAGAAAAGTTTCCTCCCTACACTTGAGAAGTGTATTATGCAAAATGCCTGTCCCTGCCTGGGGCTATTGAGTTGTTTGCTGCTGCTAATTGATAATCAGGCCCTAGAGCAGAAGTTTGTCCATCAGGGGAAGGCTCAGTATGTGCTCACACCCTCCCCTTCCTGGTGCCACTACCCTTGAGACAGGACTCCGAGAGAGTGTTGTGAAGGAGGCGTTGTTTTTATGGCCAACACCTACAAACCCTGTGAAACAAGCCCCTCATCACCCATGATTATGATGAAGCAGGTGTGTACTGTTACCATAATTACAGCTGCAGCTGTTTACCCAGTAGCCCTTGAACCACTGAGTTCTTGTCTCATGAAGCCATGAAAAATTCATAAACCATCAGATAAATAAGATAAATAAGGTAAGTAAGCAGAGAGGAGCGTATCTTTATTTACAGAGTAAAGAAAGTTTACTTAGAGGAGAAAGAAAAAAAACAAAGTCTCCAAGGCAGCAATGCCAAGAAGGGGCAAAAGACACCAAATGGGCCTGTATCTAGGGGATATTTATTTATGATTTATTTATGCATACAAGAACTGGGGTGTAGGCCAGAGGTGCAGGGAGTGAGAGGATTCACCAGAGAGAGAGTGGGTAACAGACTGACAGAAACACACTGCTGAGGGGAGTAGTGGGCGAGACGGGAGAGGTCTGCTGCGCCATGTGGGTTGCTCCCTGGCCGGCTGGGGATCAAATTCATGCTGCAGAGGCTGTGGATAGCTTCACAGTGCTGTGCTTAACCCTTTGAGCCACCAGGGAGGCCCAGTTTTTCTTTAAAAGAAAAATTATTAACTAGAAAAGGAATAGAAAAAAAGGGGGACTCCCAGGCCAGTGGAACCAGGCCAGGGAGGGGCAAGGAAGCCTCTCCAAACGATTTTTCTGTGATACCTTGTTTTTTTGTGAGGAATCTCTCCAATAGTTTCAGCTTCTTCAAAGGAGCCTCTTGCTGCTACTTTTACCTGCAAAATGACTTTTCCATGAAGATACCACTTCCCCTGAGCTCCTGAACAGAAGGAACTCTTTCCCAAACCCAACTTGAGGTTGGGCAGGGGTAGCAGCAGCAGCAGCAAAAAGGGTTTTCCTTGCCTTTGTGGCTAGACTTCCAGATCATCCGATTCCTCTCTCATGGAAATGCCTTCTTTTTTTTTAAAAAAAAGATTTATTTATAAAAGCACTGGGTACAGTCAGAAGCGTGGGAGGGTGAGAGAATTCACCAGAGCCAGAGCGGGGAACAGAACAGGCAGACTGACAAAATACACTGCTGAGGGGAGCAGCGGGCGTGGCAGGAGAGGTCTGCTTCGCCATGTGGGACACTCCCTGGTGGCCGGGGATCGAACTGGCACTGCAGAGGCTGCGGGCAGCTTGCAGCCCAGCGCTCAACTGCTGCACCACCAGGGGAGGCCCAAAACTCCTTCTTTTGAGGTGCATGACACCTGGAAATAATCTGGGGCCCCATGTCTTAGACTCTGCTCCAAATTCAACTATGACCCTGTATGGATACCCCCCTCCACCCCAATAGCTTTGCTGCTAAGTTTCTTGCCATTTTAGATGTTAAGGATCCCTGACATCTCTATTTCAGTCCCTGGCTCCCATGGTTACACCCTGGAATTTGTCATTTCTTGAACTGACAAATAAGCAAACATATTTATGAGTTGAGACATACCAAGTCTCTGTTGAAACTATAAAAATGGTACCCACTCGAGTGAAAAGCACATACTCTGTGATGCACTAGATGTGATTCTTGGTAGTAAGATGGACATTTTGTACCATAAGTGACCGAGAGTGAAGACAAATTAGTGTGTGCAGGTGGCAAAACAGAAAAAGTGAAAGAATTTGGGTATTTAAAGATGTTATTCAACTAATTGGTTATCCAAACCGGAATCATCCCATCTTTGAACCTTATTATATAAAATAATAATTATCATTCTGCTTAAGCCATTTTGAATTGAATTTGCTGCTATTTGTAGTCCAAAGTGGCCTATAAAGATCTCAATAACTTTATTTCAAAAGTTACTTTTCACCCACCATTAAAAATAAGAGTTTAGGATTCTTTTGAACATTTTGATAGATTTGAAACTATACTCAAGATGAATTTATATAGTACCATTTTTACAAGGAAAAAATAGATGAGCTTTCATAGATACATCCCCTTGACTTACAGAGCAGATACAACAATATAAACCTACTTTACTTCAATAAACATAATTTGGAAAATAAATGAGTAAATAAAAATTTTCAAATTGTTTTCTTAGTTTTATATAAAAGATTATCTGTGACTTTTGAAATGCAGCGTCGGTGAAACGTATATTGACATTGGCACACACCACAAATTGGAAGGAGGTGACCCACTGTTACCGATTTCTTTTAACAAGTAATTCACAGGCCTTATTTTTTTCACCAGTGCATTCATCATACTAAAAAAGAATGATGTCACACATGACTTAAATTTAATAATTTTGGAACCAAATAAAAAGTGAATTTCAAAATATGTCTTCAGCATATTTTGTGTCAGACCCTACGAGATATAACAATCAACACCAGCAAGGTGCCTGTTCTTATTGAGGTTTCAGTCAAGTAGGGTAGACAGATGTTGAACAGGTAATTCCAAATGTGACAGCATTATAAATCACCAAGTAGAGTGTTATGTATGGCAATACATAACAGGAGTATGGAAGTCAACTTGAATGTCAAAAAAAATGCCCCAGGAAGTAGCTTTTCAATTGAGATAAGGCAGGAATCATGACAGCAATGGGGTCTGGAGAAAAAAGAGAGAAGGCAGTTTTGATATAGTGACCCAGAATATGAGCGGCCAGGCTGAAGTGAAGACATTTTGAGGCATCCATCTTGATTTAGGAAATACAGGTTTCAGCCACTATCTGAAATCAGAGCATTCCTTTTTGTTTTTTTGTTTTTTTTTTCACTCCAAATACATTTCCAGTTCAGATCACTATTTTATGTGGCTTGGAATTCAATAAAAGAATAAGGTAGTCTGTTATCTTCAGCCTTTCCAGGTGACTGTTCACATCAAGTAGCAGTAACAAGAAATTCTTGGGAAGCCCCACCATGGGATTTACACTTTGTCAAGGCCGGCTTCCTCTGAAGTGGAGATTCCTAGTTCATTTCAAGTTGCTCTAAGTTCTGGATGATGGTGAGGTAGATTTCCTTATTGGCCCTCCTTTTTCCTTAGCTTCAGGGATGCGAGCTTCACGGGCAAAACCATGTGCAGGCCTGCAAAGCAGCATCAATGATTGTGGGTTCTGAAACCAGATCAAAACCAACAAGTTTATTCATTCCTATGTGCAATTAATTCCTGGTTTATTGAAGTAAACCACCCAGCAAGCATCAAACTCCTCATCTGTCTCATGACCATGGGTATGGGTCTGCTACTCCTAGGCAGCCTATTCAGCTGCCATTTTGTCACCTAAACAAGGTCAAAGTGGCCCGGCCAGTTAGGAACAGGAGCCCAACCTTTAGCCCTTCAAATCAAACAAGAGCACAAAGCTGGATCACACTGGGAAGGTTATGCCTCACAAGGTATGTCCAGAATGCCCAGGGGGCTGAGGACTGATGCATAACATGTGCATCAGGAGATATGTCCGGAATGCCCAGGGGGCTGAAGAACAATGCATAACACATACTCCCGACTTATACATCACGAGGTATGACCAGAAATGCCTGGGGGGCCGAGGACCAATGTATGACAAGGGACCCCAGAAGCTGATCAGTGGAGTGCCTTGTTGATAAAATTAGAACCATGGCTGGGGATTAGGGTGTATCATCAAGTAGATTAGAAGTGCCTGGAGGGCAGACTCACAATCCCTAATCTTCTACACCCTTCCCCTTTCTTTAATCTCCTTAATCTCTTTACAATTATGTGTGTGAATAAAAGGGCCAGGATCTTGCTCTTCAGCAGCATCCTGCATTATGTAGCCTGCTCCACAACTCCCATTTGTCAGTGTGGTGTTGTCTGATGCAACAATGGGAGTAGCAGAGAACTGACTGAACAGTGGCAGCTGGGGCCAGGGGCACAGGAAGCAGCTGCCACACGTGTGGTGGGGCCGAGAGCAGTGACCAGCATAAGGTCATGGTGACTCTGAGGCTGAGACTGGAGACAAGCGGGCATGAGCGCTGAAAATCAGCATTCTTAAGTATTTCATAAACCAAAATGATATAGTGAAGCAACAATTACCACTAACTTATAAGGAAGACATTTTGAAAACTCCCAGAACAAAAAAAAAAGATACATGAAAACTAAACTTATTTAAAGTAACATATTATTGTAGAATAGAAAAGCTGTGATAAATACACTAACTTATCTTAGACAGGGAAAGCTATGATTAATATACAATCTGTGTGAAATAGTTTTGAGAAGGGACTTGGTATGTCATTCTCCATGCTCTGAGTACAGGTTGCCTGTTATGTTGTAGAACAGGGGGTGAATGCTATTTTCACTTTCTCCTTTTGCCATAAAAGTGAAGGTTCTCTTTGTATTTCTTTTGGTCATTAAAAACAGGTACTAATATAAGCCTTTCATAAAAATGAAGTGAGGAAATTCAAACTTTCAAAAAGTGAGGGATACCTGTACTTTGAAACAGCAGTTTTGA